TTAGTTACCATTGAAATATAAATCCCTTTACTTTCTTTTTACTGATGTTACTTGTTTTAAATCTGAAGCTTTAAAGTGGGGCGTATAAAAATAGCCCCAGCAACAGTTTTATATCTTTAACTGACTGATTCTGAACTGACTGGTCAGTTCAATTACACTGACTGTATAGGAACTTTGGCTAAAATGTAAGAATTACACTATTGCAATTTTGCTGATGAAATCCTTGGTCATTTAGAGAGGGGAGTGGAGGTGTGTAAATTTTGTGGATAGAATAATAAGAAATACAATGTATCACTGACCATATGTCAGATACCAGCCTCTGAGGGGAAAAAGGGAGGTACACCAAAGTTGCTATATCTACTTATTCTGAAACACCCTTTTCAGCACCTCTCCATTTTATATGGTTTGGTTCCGTGTCCCGACCCAAATCTCATGTTGAATTGTAACCCCAATGCTGGAGGTGAGGTCTGGTGGGAGACGATTGGATCATGGGGTCAGTTTCTCATGAATGGCTTCATATCATCCCCCTTGGTACTGCATAATGAGTGAATTCTCACAAGATTTGGTTATTTAATAAGTGTGTAGCACCTACTCCCTCATTCTGTCTTCCTCCTGCTCCACCATGTAAGACATGCTGCTTCCCCTTAGCCTTCCCCCATGATTGGAAGTTTCCTGAGGCCTCCCCAGAAGTCATCATGCTTCCTGTACGGCCTGAGGAACCATGAGGCAATTAAACCTCTTTTCTCTGTAAATTACCCAGTCTCAAGTGTTTCTTGGGAGATGGGATTAATATACCACTCCTCCTCCCAACTCATCCATGGAAGGGTTTTTGCTCCATGAACAAACCTGCTATGATGTTCATAATTCCTTCAAGCAAGCAATTGCTTCAATCTATCCCAGGGTTAAAAAAATAATAATAAAAATAAATAAATAAAAGACACTAGGCCGGCGTGGTGGCTCACACCTGTAATCCCAGCACTTTGGGAGGCCGAGGTGGGTGAATCACGAGGTCAGGAGTCTGAGACTAGTCTGGCCAACATGGTGAAACCCCGTCTCCACTAAAAATACAAAAAATTAGCTGGGCATAGTGGCGGCACCTGTAATCCCAGGTACTCAGGAGGCTGAGGCAGGATAAACGCTTGAACCCGGGAGGTGGAGGTTGCAGTGAGCCAAAATTGTGCCACTGCACTCCAGCCCGGGCAACAGAGTGAGACTCCCTCTCAAAAATAAAACAAAACAAAATTTTAAAAAATAGAACATTTTGTGGACAATGGAACATTTGAAGACAAAGGAACACATTCTAACAGGCATTTTAGGCAAGAGAAAAAAATGCAAGGTAGATGATCAGACTTTCATTAAGGGAGATAAGGGGTTACCAGCACTGTCAAAGGATACCATTGTATTTACCTTTAGAACTAAGTGGTCTAAGACTGTAGGGAATATACTTGAGCTATTCAGTAATGCAAACTGCTGCCAGACACTAAACCATGACTTAGCAAAATCCATAAATCAAAGCAAATAATAAATATTCTTCATACAATTATCCCACCCTTACCATCAAGGAAAACATTCTCACGATCTTGAATTAATACAGTTTTATTAGCTTTGCTTTACTCAATTTAAGAACCTAGAGGGCCGGGCGCGGTGGCTCAAGCCTGTAATCCCAGCACTTTGGGAGGCCGAGGCGGGCGGATCACAAGGTCAGGAGATCGAGACCATGGTGAAACCCCGTCTCTACTAAAAATAGAAAAAATTTGCCGGGCGCGGTGGTGGGCGCCTGTGGTCCCAGCTACTCGGGAGGCTGAGGCAGGAGAATCGTTTGAACCCAGGAGACAGAGGTTGCAGTGAGCCGAGATTGCGCCACTGCACTCCAGTCTGGGCGACAGAGCGAGAATCCGTCTCAAAAAAAAAAAAAAAAAAAAAAGAACCTAGAGGCCGGGTGCGGTGGCTCACACCTGTAATCCTGACACTTTGGGAGGCCGAGGCGGGTGAATCATGAAGTCAGGAGTTCGAGGTCAGCCTCTACTGGCGAAACCCAGTCTCTACTAAAAACACAAAAATTAGCCAGGCGTTGTGGCGGGTGCTTGTAATCCCAGCTACTCGGGAGGCTGAGGCAGGAGAATCGTTTGAACCCAGGAGACAGAGGTTGCAGTGAGCCGAGATAGTGCCACTGCACTCCAGCCTGGGGGCGACAGAGTGAGACTCCGTTAAAAAAAAAAAGAAAATTTAAGCATATTTTTAAAAATGCAAATATCCCACTAATTTCAACAAGACTTCTCCCTCTAATCTGCCTACTTCCAAATTACTGAGGTTTCAGCTATGTTTTAATAGCAGAAAATAATCAAATATACATGTGCATAAAGTACCTCTAGCTTTATATACCATTCTGCAGGATACAGCAACACGGACTTAATAGATGGCAGTGCTTATCTATTCAAATGAATAGAAAAGTCCAAAGATATATTGGTATATTTAATATGATTAAATGATTATGACCTCTAATATGACTAATTTCATTTCATTGATAGTATAATTTCAGTGGCCATTTCAAGTCTATTATACCCAAAATGAGAATTCAGGAGTCTGAAGTTCATATTTGTTCAGCATTCCTACCTATTTTTAATAGTTTTGATAGAAGTGGCGCTTTCATCTTTAGACATACTTCTACTTCTTCCTTCTTTTTTGCAATGCTTTATGCCATCATCAGGAATTCCTCCCTGGGTGATGGAGCCCTTGCCAATATCTGCGCTTTTATTGCAGAATCTGTCCCCAGAGTAACCAGAATCTCACACTTTCCTTTTCTGCATCTCACAGCATAACCTGTTCGTCCATGATGCATGAAGGACATCACCTAACACATACACACACACACACACACACAGCACACACCTACAGGGTCACAGCAAGCTCATGTGCACATGCACACATACTCAGGAAATGTACATTTCAGATCACAGAAGCTCCTTGGCCTAGTTCTCCCAGATGCCATTCAGATGCTGCCTTGGCATGGCGTCCTTACTGACCCTCCCTTCCTCCACAGAACACATACTCATATGTCCTCAACTTCCACCCCAGAAAGGTCATTCCTAGATCTAATCACAGCCCAGATTCTCTTCCTGGCCCTTTCCTGTAACTAATCATCGAAGTTCTGGCCCAAGGCACAGTAAAAGTAGCAGACTGGACTAACTATGAAGGCAGAGATGACATTTTATTCAATGATGTTTCTATAACTCCACTCAGCATAACTGGGCCATAATCAGTTTGGAATAAATGATTTTTAGTCTCACTGGATCCTTTACCTTTTAGATCTTGCTCACTTTTCCCCATTTATCCCCAATTCAAGGCCTTTCTAGTCAGGAAGAAAGTGTAATTATCTGGCCTCACACATATTATGTCTCAAATATAAACTCTCTCTATTCCAAGGGTTTTTGTATATTTTCCAAGGAGACTGGGAGAAGTGATCAATGAATTCTAAACAACCAGGTGTCTCCTTGATTCAGATTTGGAGGCAGCAGCTCCCCGAAGAGCCCCAGATCTCATTTCCACCCAAGCCTTGGCCTCTTTTATTAAGTCATACTCACCCCTGTCCCCACCCTCCAGAAACAGCTATCCTAGGTGTGAGATATAATTCCTACCCTGAACTTTGCCTGTTCACCACGTAAACAGCTTAGTTTCTTGCTTCATATAAGACTTCATAAAGTAAATGGGGTCTTATCATGCTCTCATTTCCATTATCCCTGAACCTGCTCTGCTCCTCTTTACGCTGACATTTTCCTACTAAAGCCAGGCTCAGAGCCAGAGACTTGCTTCCTGAGAATTCTGTCCCCAGGCCCAGGAGTAACAGCCCATGGTTTACTGAGTGCTCACCATGTAGCAGGGAAAGTTCTAAATGCTGCATGGGTATGATCTCATATAATCCACACCTATCAGGTGATTAATATGAAGCCCCATATCTCATTTAATCAACACTGAGGTTTACCAGTACAAATGAAATATCTTGCCTCAAAAGGCCTTAAACAGTAAGGAAATGTGTTATCTAAATTAATTAAAGGTTATAAAGTCAAGTTGGCTCCAGACATGGTACAATGAGGGAGGACATCTGGACAGATATAAATGAGAACTCTGAACCCCTCACATCCTCCTAAACCTTTCTAAGAGGTAGTCCTCTCAAATCCCCAACCAAGCTGCTCTGCATTAAACATTTCAATGACTTAACCTGGGGCAATGGCCTCACACAGGTATGCAGTTTCTTCTCAGCAGCCACCCCCTTCACTGCTCTGAACCCTCCAGGCCCAGAGATCTCAGCATAGCCCCCAGATAGCAGTACAAAGTCTGATTTAAGAGATAACCAAGCATCTTGCTAATTTCCATAGGGAGGAGTCTGGGACACATCTATGAGTGGAAATTCTAAGGATGTCTGCCCAAGGAGGATGAAATGTTTGTTAAGATCAGGGTATATCTTTATGGATGCACTTGCCCAGGATCTGGGACTTAATGTTAGCCAGAGCACCTGTAAGTGACATGTTGGCTATTTGGAGTTTGAAAGTGACAATGTACTATGTTGGCTCTCTGGAGCCTGAACTCAACAGCTGCATATAGGCAATAAGGATTAAGGGGCAGAACTTCCCTGGCACAATATTAAGGAATCCAAAAGCTCAGAGAATTAGGAGAATACATATATATGTCCTGGTTTATGCCTGTTGTTATGGTCTAATTATTAATACTGCCCTCTTTGCCATCTGCTCAGCCAACTCTTACCCATGCCACCCTGGAGGACCCAGACAACACACCCTTCGCCAGGGCTTTAAGAAATGCGTTGGTGAAGGAAGCATCAGAACCCTGACAAAGCCCTGAGGTAGCTGTCCCCAGCAGCCTGGAGTTGACAGCAGGGATTCCTAGGATTGGTTGTATTCCCTGATTTCCATGGGAATAACGGTAGTCACAGTGACAGTTCTAGAGGTCAGTGATAGCACTTAACTATTAAAAGACAATCATTTCGGTTTTTAGTGCTTGATATTTATTGAAAATAATGCCAATGCTTTTTCCAGGTAGTATTGAGGAGCTGGGCTGAGTGCTTGTTTGTTTTGTTTTTAGTACTATTTGTCCAAATGCATACATCTGTGGGACTGCTGCGATTTTGAAAGAAAAATGACAGCTGTGTAAAACCAGTGCATAGGAAAAAAGAAATATCAACAATTTGGCTGTCAGGCACACCGCGCCCCTGCAGCAATCTGGTATGGCAGGGGAGGACACTCGGAGTAGGTAGAAAACTAACCAGGCTGAATGACTGGCCTCTTCAGGGGTTGGTGAGCTGTCCAAATCAATGTCCGAAGAGGCAGAGCCAACTCTGGCATTTTCCAGGTTGGTCCTGATCTCGAAAGGCGGTAGTCTGTAGGTGGGATGTGGTGAGTGGATGTGAAGTGGCAGCATAGTTCTCTGGGCAGATGTAAGCCTGGCAGCAGGGCAGGTGGCAGCAGCAGGGCTATGGGTGGTCTGCGCAGTTTGTAACAGGGGCCTGGCCAATAGCTGGGGTTCAGGACACAGTTCAGATTAGCAGGGGAGGGATCCCCGGGATGGCCAGGGTAGATGACACTTCCAAGCACTTCCGAGTGAGTGAGGCTCCAGCCCCAACCCCAGCAGCAGGTAACTGGAGCGCTATTCCTGGAACAAAGACAAGCACTACGGAGAAATGAAGAAAGAGCAGACGGGCGCGGGTAGGGAAGGGGACCGGAGGGCAAGGGGGAGAGCAGTGGCTCCTGGCGGGGTGAGGGCTGCGGGGAGGGGGTGACGGCGTGCAGGGCCCTCCCCCCGAGGCCCGAGGGCCTAGTAATTATCCTCTTCGTCCTCGTCGTCGTCGTCTTCGTCGTCATCCCAGCCAAAGCACTGTTTCATCTCATCGAGGAAGGCTCGGTAATCACCTAGGATGGGGCTATCCATCTCGATGTAGGGCACCACCCACTCCTCAGCTTCCCCGGTGAGGAGACTGATTAGGAATGCCACCTTCATGGCGTCGTTGCAGAATCGGTTCTCGTTCACGAGCATGTAAGACGCTGTCTGCACGATAAACTCGGGGAGCCGGGAGCTCTCGCCATTAAACGTTTCGGGGAAGGGCACCGGGCAGCTCGGCGGACGTACCTGGCGCAGCAGGCTGGCCCTCTCGCACACCAGCAGCCGCAGCTGTTCCATGAGCTGGCTGTTCTCGATGGTCAGGGCGCGGTGCCGCATCAGGAGCGCGTGCAGCAGCAGCACCAGCTCATCCACCATTGCGAACAGCCTGGAAGGACAGGGCTCGGCTCGGTTCGGCTCGGTTCGGCTCGGCCAAGGTGCGCACGGAGGCCTCGCAGGAAGTGCGTGTCCACGGAGACGCTCGATGGCCAGGGGCTGGGGGCGGGGGGCGGTGCGCGCCGGGGTCCGGGAGGCTACGCAAGCTCCGCCCACGAGGCCATTGGGACGGATGGTGCGCCGGCGCGGCGCGGGAGGGGCGTGGCCAGACTGGGGGCCGCGGCTGCGTGGGGGCGTGGCCGGGATGGGAAGGGTTTAGACAAAGAGGGCGGGGCCAGGAAAAGGATGCACTGGGTCGCTGAACCACCGGCTTGTGGTAGGTCTCTAGGCGGGCAGTTAAAGACTGGGGTAGGCTCCCCTAGCTCCTGGTTGTGGGGCCTGCGTTAGCAGAGGACCTGGCGAGCGCTGAATTTGGTCTCAGAGAAGGCAAATTTGTTCAAACTGAAAGGATTAGCCACCCTTCTACCTAGGCAACTGGCACAACTCAGTTGTTCCTTCGTGGGTCTGTGGCCACTAGATTCTCTTGGCGTGATGTTTTATTAACACATTTTCTTTCTTGTTTAAATCTCACTCAGAGAAGTATTGACACTGCTGGCTGCACTGTGGGACTCACACTTCCTTTTAGGATCATGAAGACCTTCAGGGGTTCCTGCCTTTCATGAAAAAGGCAGTATTTAAACAGTGACTTCTTTAGTAGGGGAATAATATGGTATACTCCCTTAAAACAAACAAACAAAAAAAATAAACCTAAGTAGCAGGATATAAAGAAGTTTTGCAAAATCAGCATCCAATAATCAATTGCAGGCATCCCACATATCTTTGATTCTCTATTTCTTGTCCTGCTATTAGTGCCTTTGGCCACTGGGTTTTATTCTGGACTTAAAAATGAACTGTTAAGATGTTTGTGTTTTTAAATAATTTTGTTTTTCTACTTTAAACGGATCCCTGATCCTAGAGCCGACAGGAATTGTTGGCTCTGCTTTCAAATATATTGCCAATTCAGTCATGACTTGTCATTTCTACCACTGCCACCCTGATCTCCAGCCTTTCTCACCCAGACTGCTGCAACTAATCACTTTGCTTTCACTCTTTTCTTCCTATAGTATATTCTCCATAGAGTAGCCACAGGAATCCTTTAAAACAAAAATTAGGGCCGGGCGCGCCGCGGGGTGGCTCCCACGGACTGTATCCTAGCACTTTGGGTGGCCCGAGGAGGGCGGCTCACGAGTCAGGAGATCGAGATCATCCTGGCTAACAGGGTGAAACCCTGTCTCTACTAAAAATACAAAATAATTAGCGGGGCGTGGTGGCAGGTGCCTGTAGTTCCAGCTACTCAGGAGGCTAAGGCAGGAGAATCGCTTGAACCTGGGAGCGCGGAGGTGGCATGGAGCCGAATAGCGCACAGCGCACTCCTCATA